TATACAAAGGCAATGGTATACAATGGTATACAAACTTATATATCAATGGAAGGTTCTATTAATTTCTTAATTATTACATTTCATTAATGAAGATCTAGTGCATTAATTTTATCTTTAAATAATAAATTGTTGATCTAAATTAAAACATTCAAATATTGATTTAAACTGCTACATCAAATATTTTATCGATTCTTATTTTATCGAAAAAAAATTATCGATTTTACATGCACTGTTTTTAAATATTTAAAATATTTCAATAATAAACAATATATGTAATGTTTTAATTACAAAAATAATATTTTAGGTAACAATGAATTCAATTTAGATACAGAAAGGATAATCGCAAACTGATTTCTCTTCATAAGAAATATTCGAATAACATGACATTCATATAAATGAAGAATAAATCAATTCGTTGTAACGACAGGAAACGGTACTTGTCAAAATTAGTACGCCTTTTTAATATATGCAAAAACTAACCGAAATATACTGGCTTTCCACATTTATGGCACTTCCACATGACGGCAGACTTTCCTGATCTCCATAAAATAATAAAATCTAACTCTTACAAGATTCTAAACCATTTTGTTTATACTATATAAATAGGCGCATTGAAAATGACATGCGGGTTAATTAAAGATGTTACTAGTAAGGCAACCTTCGCTGAATAATGAATAGTTCCTGTCCGGGTTCAAAAACGTATCAAGCACTTGACTTACATTTCTTTACTAGAAACATGGAGCACAAAGTAGAAAGGAAACTACAAGTTAAACATAAACCGTTCATTCATGAATTTCCATTAATGAAATATTGCAATATTCGACTAATTAACTAATTTAATCCAAAGGAATTGTACTGGAATTATTTAAATAACAAATTCCTGTTTTATTTATTAATTATATAGAGTTCAAGTAGAATATACTACTGATTAATACTTAAGAAATTTGTAGTATTATACAGACATGAATATAACAGTAATATTAATCAAATAGAGCAATAAAATAATGTATTTGTCAACATTTGCTTTACGACATATTAAATAATAATATTTATATGCAACATTTGTAATATTTTCATTTAAGTGATATTGCGCAATATACTAAAAATTACTAATTATTGTTAATAAACAAAGAAAACAATTTTATTCAACATTATCCGTCTTACAATATACACTTATGTACATTATTATTACGCGTAAATTTAAAGTTTTACATTTCTAAACTCATCAGCTTAAAATAGTATAATTTTCATTTCAGCAGTTTATTATTTAACGGAAAACAATTTAAAATTTTATTGAAACACAATTAAACGTAATGACGTAGTTACTATCCATTAATGTTATTTCTGACGTTTATTCAAACAGTTCTCTTTTGGGAAATATCTTTTTCATATGTGAGTGTTTAATAGATACAACATAATATGAAAAATATTATCAATCACGAATATAAGTAATCTATAAAATAATGATGAAAATATATTAAAGTATAAAGGGATTCGTAAAAATTTGATTTCAAAAAAGGCATATTATATAAACCAATTATTCAACTTTCTTAGGTTAATATCAATATATAAAACTTAATAAGTATCGAATAAATTATTTTCACAATAATTTCATAAGTAATATTTTATTTAAGCAAACTTAAGTTTATAATCATACTAGTAATTATCTTTCTTCGTCGTTTTATGAGAAACAACCATAATGGTGCGTTTAATAAATTCAACGGAAAGTTCATAAGCATACCGGCTTTTTGAAACTACAAGCGGGCGTCCTTTTATTAATGACAGTATACGTATATAAAATCAGAATATTGAAGACGAACAAGAAGTGTATATAAATGTGATGTCATTAAAAGTACAAAGATTTAAGAATCGTATTTAATTTACTTGAAAGAATTTTGAGGTACACAATTTACGACGTTTCATCAAGAAAATAGAGGTTAACTATCACAAGTAAACAACATGATGAAGATGAATACAAAAGGATACAAAGAATTGCTGATGCAGAGGATGTTCTTAGCTATAATTTCTAGCATTGTGGTACAGTTTTGTCTTGTGACATGCTTACTTTTTATTACAAACTTGAACATGGATTATACATCATGGATACAAAACACATGGACAACAGTAACCTCCTTTCGAATGTGGAGTTACTTCTGTGTTCTCGCGATTGTTACGTTCTTTCAAGGAGTTATTTGTAGCAAAAGTTACTCAAATGTTCCACCCTACTTGAAAAGCAGATTTATAAAGTTTTGTGAAATATTCACATCTCAAAATATCTTGCTGTGTGGTTTACATGTTATTACTGGTAGCCTTCTTATTTGGTTGCATTTATCAATCAAAGGAGGTAGATACAGTTTCTTAATGACAGAATGTAATGTAATCTATGGAACTTGTTTAATGGAAGAACATTACTTTTTATTCTTAAGTGGATTCTGGAGTGGATTATATTTCTTTTTGAAGACTAGTATTTTTCATACAAAATATTTAAGATTTCCAATTATATCCTCATCAAAGCTTTCTCGATTTAGAGCAGGTATATATTCCATGCTTCCATCATTAATGGCTCAATGCATATGGCCTACTCTATATTATTTTACTGGTTATTATTTTTTGGGTTCATATTGTCGCTCTATAATACTGTTCCTAGCATCTGCACAATTAGAAAGTGAACCATTGGATAGCATTCCAGTTTTACTAAACATGTCATTGGTTTTTCAATTGTGGTTGTACCAATTGGTATTTACATTGACAATTGACAGCATGTATTTATTGTTTGAATTACATTTGACAGAATGGGTACCTTTTGAATTCAAACAAAATGTATTTAGTAATGATGCATCAGGAGTGACACTTTCTGAAGCATTATCTATGGATAAAGTGCCAATAATACAGCATCTAGGCTATTTGGATTTGATCACAATGGCTCAAAAAGACAAGACAAGAAGAAGCATATTATTTACACTAAGTCAACCTGGAGGTCATCCTTATAATTGGAATTGTGTTGTAGAAAAATGTACTGGTCTGATAAAAAGATTTTCTGATGATGTTAATGAAGCATGTGTTAAAGCTCAAGAACCACCTTTATGTAGTTCAAATTCAACAATGGTAGTTGAGAGTAAATTTCAGAAGGAATATGTATATCGTATGCGCAATTTAACAAAAGAAAATGTGCCAGTGTCTACAGAAGAAAGTGACATAAAAAAACTTGACAATGATTTGAAACTACTTAGTCAAACATTTATAAAAGCAAAATGGAATAATTTTCTCACTTATTTGTTATCTAAACCACTTATTTCTTACATCTTTGGTGAGATAGAGGGTGGTAAAGTGTGTCATCTTTTATTCAATGGACAATCAGTAATTTGGGCTGCAGAGGCAATTTCCTCTTTAGCTGTATTATCGTTAAATGAAGATTCTTATGGAGTTGCACAAAAAGATTTGCCACTTATAATCAATACTTTGCTTGCATTGAAACAAGCCCTTGATAAATTGCAGAAATCAAATGTTATGGCAAAGAAACAAGATGGAAATGATAGGTTTGACAAAGAAATCTTCCATTCTTTACGTGCTGCAACAAAACGAAGTCTCTATAGGATTGTTACAAGTTTTGAAGCTTATTTTAGTCACATGGCATTAGAATTTACAACAATGGAACAATTACACAGTTTTCTTGTTTATAGAGAATAATTTTCGTAATTTAATAGTAAACTCCGGTGTATATACTGCCATACTTATAAATACCTTTTAGCTATACTTAAGATACCTTTTAGTATCAAAATGTGTTACAAAGGTTATAAGATTATTTTTCTAATCATTGTATTTATATACATAAATTATACTTGTGATTGATACAATCTTTTTTACTTAAATTTATGATTCACTAAATATAGTGTACAAGTTTTTGTAAAGAAAAAAAAAAAAATGGTTATAAATTTAAAATCCTGAATGTGATGACATAATTCAATTCAGATTTGTAAAGTGTTGCAATAAATTGAATATTTTTCAAATATTTAGAATTTTTCTTCCAACACACTTTAAACAAATATACAATAATTGTATTTAACATAATGTAGAAAAAGTAACACATTAATTTTATTACAATAAAATATATTACATGTTTTTCAAAGTTTGTACAACGCTAAGATTATAAAATAATTTCTCTCGTAACACAAACCAATTTTCCGCCTGTGTTTCTTGTAATGTATCTAAGTAATTCATTAACGATTCGGTTTCTGTTATTATCGTTCCGTGCCATTTTAAAAATACAGCTAAATAAGCTTGCGCTAATTCAAAATCCGTCTTTTTTTTAATCATGTAGTGCATCATTTTCATAAAATAAAGTAACAAGGTGTTCGACACTTTTTCATCCGCTGAAAGTGATTGAATTTCAAAGTCAATAGAACTCGGACTCATCATTTTTAATTTTTCAATAACTTCTTCAAATTCGTCGTTATGAACAGATAAAAGGGATTTGCTAAATGGAGTTACATTTTGCAGTTCCGGATGAGTAATAAATGTGTTTTTCGATTGCGTATCTTTAACATTCGAGAAATCAAATTTCAAATCTAACGATGGAATCGTTGGCAGAAAGAAAGGAGCATTTTCTGGTACTTTAGGTGGCGCTTTGGGTTTGTTTCGTTTCTTTACAATATCTATATTTAACAGATTTTGCCATCTCGAGTGAGCAAAACCAGACATTGTAATAAGATCTTCTTGAAGTTGTTCTGGAGATACGTATTCCGGTTCTAGTTCAGTGAGTCCGTCTTCATTAATATCGGTAGCTTCCATTACTGAGCCAGGAAGACCAATCATTGGAATTGGATCGTCTTTATTCACTGCTTTTAATGAAACGTAAGAATAAAGGGTGCGGTTGGACCATAAATATATGCCTATATTACACACATGTGTTGTAGCAAGAAATTCTCCAGTTGGAGAAAAATTTAATGATGTGCAAGCTTCTGGAACCTAAAATATTATTATGTTCAAAATACAATATTTGAAATTAATATTTAGGTTTTACTCGTAAAATCAATATTAGTAATGGTACATATCAATAATACATTTAAAATTTACTGAAAATGCATTTAAAAATATACCTGAAAAATATCTATTAAGTTTGAAGAAGGAATATCCCATGTGCGAATTGTACAATCCATAGATGCTGTTATTAGCCATCTGGAATCAGGACTGAAACTTGCATCTGTCAATCGCGATTCATGTCCCTCAAAACGTCGAACGATATTTTTAGTATCGAGATCTACTAATACAACGGTAAAATCTTCCAGTGCTACAGCTATAAGGGAACTTTCATTGTGATACCGTAACCATACAATGGGCTCATCCAATGTCACCTTTGTATATGGCTCTGTGTCTCCTTGAAATAATAATATGCAATGAGTTATATTTATTTCACATATTATTCAATACCCTTTTTATTTTGCTTACCTGTTTTTGGTGTAAACCTCCAAAACTTCAGGAAAGTATCTCTGCCAGCAGTAATTACAGTGTGATTTAAAGGATCTGTCATTACACCTTTCACAGGACCTTGATGTGCTCCTTTATCTGTACCATAACTAGCTCTGTGAATTCCTGATTGTATATTAAACCTTTCTACATGTCCTGTATTATATCCAATAACAACAAAATTCCCACATTTTGTTAAACACACACTGCTTGCCACAACATTACGGTTGCCTTTAAACTTTTCTGGAAATAGCTTGTGTTCTCCCATTTTTCCCAGATTAAAAGACCATGTAGTAACTGTACCCAAGCCAGAATGTGTTGCCGCAATATTATCCCATTCTTTTTCTCTTGCTATTTCTGCAGCAAATTCAGTAATTGGTGGCATCATCAAAGGATCTTCAACAGCTCTTCCTCTCCTTTTTGCAGCTTTCCTGTTAAAGGATGCTCTTCCCAGACTTTTGTTTAACATTTCTGTAACTGTAGAAAATACCCTCAAAGAAGAATCACTTCCAGCTGTTAATATACTGTTGCCTTCAATTCCATAGAAACGAATGGCTGTAGGAGGGTCTGCATGAGCCTCTCTAATTCTTAAAAGTCTGCCAGCTCCATCAGCTAAGTCAAATATCCATAATTTCAAAGAATTATCAGGAGAGGATGATACTAACAGTGGCTCATTGGGCAAATATTTTAAACCTGTTACAGCTGCAAAATGAGCTTTATGTAATTGACTTTCTACTTTACGCTCTTCTAAATTCCAAAAAATAATATGACCATCTAAGCTTCCTGTAGCCATGATTGGATGTTCATCTGTTCGAAAACTAATTGATATTACAGAACCCCAATCTTGTACTAATTGAAAAACAGTTTCATCAAATTTCAAGTTGTGTAGTATGATTCTACCATCATTTAATCCTATTGCTACAACATCTATTGCAGGAGCTTGCTCAAGTACAGTTATTGGGGTATTCCATCCTTTAAATGTATAAATAGATTTTAGAACTTTTAAATTCCATAGTTGTAATTGACCCTGTTCACTTCCAAGTAATACTTTGTTCATATAAGTAGCAGGATGGATTAATGTTGTTATTTTAAAGACATTGTTGCTAAAGGTAAGCTCTGCTGTTAACTCTTCTGTCTTAATATCCCATATTTTTAAAATGCTGCTTTCATCAATAGAAATTAAATGAGGACCAAAGGCTAACATAATATGTACTGGGCATTCATGACCTTTGTAAGTATGCTTTAACTCTGTTCCTCTTCTCCAAGCATATATTTCATTTCCACATGCTGTATAAATGTGGAAAGAGTCTCCTGCGAGACATGTAATTTCACCTGGATGTGTTCCTGATACAGTAAGTAACGCGAAATGCAAAGAACCGTATGTGTGAAATGCATTACCAACACACGTTACTATAAGACTTTCTTTTCTCCTTTTAATATATCTTGTCACAAGAGGAATGTGATTACTGACGTATCCTAATGCACGATTCCTTAAAAATATTTTACTGTGTACCATTGTCTATTCTTTATTTTACGTCAAAATAGATGTTTACAAATTAAAACTTAGGTTAAAATACACAATCATGCTTTCAAAACTCCAGCCACGGGTACGTTCATATTGCAAGGCATAGACTATATCTATTAATGAAAGTATAGTGATATCAGTTTCGTAGTTGAGCAAGTACGTTTAAACGCGCAAATTTTAAAATATACTGTGATAAAATTATAAGTATTGTTTAATATTAGTTAAATTTTGTTGTTATGTATTTCAAATTAAGAAAAGGAATTATTAAATAGAAAAACTTAAATGATACGGTTTCTTATTTGAGACAATCAGTACAGAATGATTCACTCTGTATATTATTGACATATTACGTAGTTCAGTGTAACGACAAGATTAAAATTTTCATATTTTCACTACAATAGCGGTCTAACAATTTTTTAAAAAATTATACGAAGGTTCATATAATCTTTAAATATATTTGATTAAAAGTCATAACAAGTATTTGTTTGAAAAGTGCTTTATTAAATGAAATCTCAATTTTGTACAGTCATAGGTTAGGGATTGAATAGAGAAAACACCATTGATATTAAGTATTGTTTTTTATAATTTCATTTCAATTATCCGTTGTTTCCACGGATCCATATAAATCATTTTTATGCTAATATACATATACATGTATAAAACATAGTATCTATTCTACATAACCGAAATTTGTTTTCTTTTTACAACAAATATATTAATATTAGCGAGGGTTAAGCACAACGTAATAACAGATACAGTCATATCTCTAGAAAAATCATATAACCTTAAAACAATTATACGTCATTATTTATCATGTATCACAATACAAGGTATAATGATTAAATTACAATTAATAACACTTAGACAGTATCTACAAATATGGAAGAAAATGTTTATATTGATATGTGAGGTACTGATAAATAATAACATACTATATACGTCTAAAACACATTGTGTAAATCAACTAAATGCATATCACACAAATGATATAAAGCTTAAAATTCTAAAATCCTAAGAAAGCTGCAAATCCTACTGATCACATAAATGAAATTCATTACTGTATTAAAACGTTTACATAATGTATTATTGAAAATGATATAAACTAATAACTAATAAAGCTTTGTGAATAGTCCTTTGGCGTTATTCAACCAAATACTTCATATTTTATTATCGTTCAACTAAATCGCACCTTAAGATTTACGAAGATTTATCAGTCACAAATAGACACGAAATTTTTCGTATTGTGTTGCAGTCTTCGACTACAGATTTCGAAAACTCATTTTGTTCCCTGTGGCAACTGTTTCAAACAATCGAAACTGTTTTGAAAAATCGCCTTCATTTATCGGGAAGCCTCAGTTTGTGTGTCCTTTCATTTGATACATGTTGACTAGCAAACGGGAAATAGGGATTTCGCCTATAGTTTCGTGAAAAAACAAACGTTCGACCAACTTGGAGAAGACGGACGTCAAACGTCCAACAAGATACATCAAAGTCCCACTTCTGCCTGGTTGTCTTTGATAACAGGATTTCGTGTAGTCTCCTAGTATACATTGAGCCTGATCTTGTAACATTTTTATCGACTCGCTGGCGTGGAGGCCCTCTGTTTCTGTAAACGAATGCATTATTCACGTGAAAATGGTAATTTAAAATATTTTCTTGATTTTCGTTACTTGAAAAAATACGATTGAAATTCAGTTATAGAATATTTCTTTAATTTATATTCTCTTAGAAAATGCAACGTAAATTAAAATTTCAATTATTTACATCGGCAAAGAGAAATTTATTTTGTAAAACATTGTGCAATTCTA